GTAAAGAATCGCATGTGATTTGAACAGGAATGCGGTGTGATGCCTGTCCGAATCACGTACGGTTTCCTGCACAGCTGTAGTCACTATGACAAGCCTGGGTTCACACAGGAGTGGTGCAGGAAACTGACCTACCTGATTCCTACACTGACCTACCTGATTCCTACACTGACTGACCTATCTGATTCCTACACTGATCTACCTGATTCCTACACTGATCTACCTGACTATTACACTGACTAACCTATCTGACTACTACACTGACCTACCTGATTCATTACCTGACCTACCTGACTACTACACTGATCTACCTAATTCCTACACTGACCTACCTAACTACTACACTGACCTACCCGATTCCTACACTGACCTACCTGATTCCTACACTGACCTACCTGATTCCTACACTGACTGACCTATCTGATTCCTACACTGATCTACCTGACTACTACACTGACTAACCTACCTGATTCCTACACTGACCTACCTGACTACTACACTGACCTACCTGATTCATTACCTGACCTACCTGATTCATAACCTGACCTACCTGACTACTACACTGACCTACTTGACTTCTACACTGACTGTCCCAATTCCTACACTGACCTACCTGACCACTACACTGACCTACCTGACCACTTCACTGACCTACCTGATTCCTACACTGACCTACCTAGTTCCTACACTGACCTACCTGACTTCTACACTGACCTACCTGACTTCTACACTGACCTACCTGACTTCTACACTGACCTTCCCAATTCCTACACTGACCTACCTGACCACTACACTGACCTACCCGATTCCTACACTGACCTACCTGACTACTACACTGACCTAACTCATTTCTACACTGACCTACCTGACTTCTACACTGACTGACCTACCTGATTCCTACACTGACCTACCTGACGACTACACTGACTTACCTGATGACTGCACTGACCTACCTGACTCTTAACTCTGACTGGAAAGTCCTGCACATCTGCTGGGAAGAAATTTCCAGTCCCCAGTACAGCCCCACACACAGTACAATGTAGATCAGTGGATCCTCTTCACCTTTTCATGTCCTCCATCAGTAGGCTGATCCCAGCACTGGACAGTAACGTTTTGGGGTCCTGCCACCCAGCCAATCCTCATTATCCCTTGCAGGGAGGACCAGCACACCTGTCTCACCTCCGCCATCTGTACCTAGCACCACCCCTCCCCTATTAGATTCCCCCATCAGAGCCCCCCATACATCAGATTCCCTATAAGAGCCTCCATTACATCAGATTCCCCCATTAGAGCCCTCTTTACATCAGTTTCCCCCCATCAGAGCCCCCCTTACATCAAAACTCTCATCAGAGCACCCTATACATAAGATTCCTCCATCAGAGTCTCACTATACCTGTAGACTCACTCCATAGGGCATGGCAGGTAGGTGACAGGAGCTGGGAGGAGAAGTGTGCTGCAGGGTAGGGCACACATGTGACGTCATTGGTTGCTATGACACCAACGATCCTAGCAACCAATGACTGCAGGTTCCTCAGGATTCATAGCAGGGGAATGGCTGGCTGATGGCCAGGACTGGAGAGGACGGCCAGGAAAGGAACCTCTCCCTTCTAGCCTGTCAGCCGGGCTTCAGTGTGTGCAAGTGACAGTAGTGTGTTGCAGGCAGACAACACTGCGGTATGGGGGGGCTCCCAGAAAACTCAAGACAGCGGGAAGAAATTCTGCACAATGAACACTGACAGGTGAGAGAGTAGGTAGGGGGTTTGAGTCATGGGTTGTTAAGGACATGGCGGCTGTCCCCTTAACAACTGATAATTCTTTTGTTTACATTTCAGCTGTCAACGGGGCGAATCCCACTGACAGCTGAAAGAACTGAGCCAGAAGGTATCGGTTTTTAGTATCCGTGCATTTGCACAAGTACCAATACTCGTGCAAATGCTTAGTATAAGTGTCGGTATTGCTGAAACCCTAGTAGGAACCATGGTTGTCATTCTAGACTGGTCTCCTGTTTGGGATTGCAAACACATCTTTTTTTTATTTCCATTACATAGGAGGACAGGGAAAATTGCGGCAGAATTAGCCACTCGTACGCAAAGGCCTTTTCACCTGCAACAAGATACCATCCACATGGGATAGCATTACCAGTCCTCTGTATGTTAACACTGATTCATATGTATAGGTACTTCACTGCTCAGTAGCTGTAGCTTTAGCAGTCACGGTAAGCACTGCTATGTGGATCATTCTGCAAACAACGCATCCACGGCCTTGACTCCTGAATCGGTTTTTGTAGCTTGTATGTGGCCAGTTCACATAGGCAGAATGGTGACTGTGTTAATACAATGGTATTACCAATATTACAGGTAACTCAACATACTGAAAGGTGCTACAAACTCCAATGGGGGTTATTTACTAAAACTGGAGCATGCAAAAACTGGTGTAGCTCTGCATGGAAACCAATCAGCTTCCAGGTTTTAATGTCAAAGCTTAATTGAACAAGCTGAAGTTAGAAGTAGATTGACTATCATGCACAGCTGCACCAGATTTTGAGTGCTCCAGTTTTAGTAAATCATCCCCAATATTTTTCATCCCTTAAGATCAAATACTTTATAAGAGTGTGACAGCCACCCATTGAAATTATTATCTACTTATTGAGGAACCTGCATTTTGCTATTTTTAAAGTGGTTTTAACATTAATGCATGGGATTCCCCCCCCAGCCCCCTTTATATTTCCTTGACCCCATTGTGATCCAGCACTGTGCAAGACAGCAGCAGCTCTCCTGGTTCTGTCCCTCCTCACTGCGCACATCGATGCTCCTGCTGTGGTCAATCAAACTCTGAGACGAGGGAGGCGGGGGTGAGGTCATGCCCCGCTGTCTATTTGTGGACATAGGCAGCTGGACTCGGGAGCAAGTTTTCATTAGTGCCGCCAAAGGAAGCTATTTTCTATGGGGACACTGAATGAAGAGGAGGAGCCATGAGCACCGCCAGGGGACCTGAGAAGAAGAGGATCGGGTCTGCTCTGTGCAAGACCATTGGGCAGAGCAGGGAAGTATAACATGTTTATTATTTTAATTTAAAAATAAAAAACAAGCTTTACAACCACTTTAATTTACAAAAAAATAAGTGGCAAGATAGCTATCATATGATCCTGACCTTTGGGATGCCAACCACACTATCAGATCGGTGATAACAATAGGGACAATAGAGTCTGTATTTGCTGCTGGACATATGGCATCATGGGTTTCCATAATTTTTTATTACCAGCTATGTAATCACGTTATATTTTGCATAGGATAAGTAAAATACTTTTTCAACACTTTTAAGTTCAGTGTGCACAAAATGAATTGTATGCCAACAACAGGATAAGTAGCTTTAGAGAAAAATGCTTATTTAGTTTACACTCAAAAGTGCTAAAAGCATCCATGTAGTGGAGTCCGTAAGCAGTATTTGTGTTTTCCTACTTATTTTTTATTTTTTGCTTTGATATCTCCTTGATTTGCTAGTAGTACTTAAAAGTATGGCTAACAGGAACAGCAATCTTTTTGTACAGTATGAGATAAGAGTACATTTGTGAAGATTTCGCACCAATGCCATTTGGCTCTGGTATCCTTTCTGGACTGATGGATTACTGCTGTGTACCTCTTCACCCATAATAGAGGATGATACAAATGTTATTTAGCCCATACTGATAATTTGGTGATCGGGAACATTAAGTGTGCTTGTATGGTTGACTGTAAGTATATGAAATGCATACAGCTGTAAATTGACTTCACCTGTGTATACCATATGTATGCTTATTTACAAAGGGGATATCAGCTTCTTCAGAGTTAAAGCCGGCCATACATGGATCAAAATTCAGCTGAATCAGCGGGAACCAGCTGAGATTTGATCTATCTATGGGCAGGCTGATTGTACCCAAGTCGATCCTACTTGGATACTTACTGGTACTTACTACCAGCCTGCTCAATTTTTCCACATGCGATTACTGTCTGCTGCTATAGCTGCTAGCAGTAATCATTGTGTTCTCCCTGACAGGCTCCCTGCACCCCCTTTCTGGCTGAACACAATGACACTGTGGAAGGCATTTCTCCCATCAACACTGACTATTGATGGGGGAATCAAGTGATTCAGATCATCTATGGGCTACTTAGGTTTCATGCAAATTTCCCTAAAATTGTAGATGGTAATTGATGGCCTCCTTATGAAAATTACCTGATTATCTCTGACTTTAAGACTTAAACTTTACAATCTGATTATACATATCTGTACAATCTCCTTTAAGCAGGTCATAGATGTTTCAATTTTCTTTCCTGCAACCATTGGGACATAACATGACACTAACACTGTTGATGGAGGAATCCCTCCCGCAGAGCTGTTGTGTTCTCCCAGCAGCTCTCATCTATGGTTGACTTTAGATTTGCTGAAACTATGTAATATGAGGACAGACTCAAACAATGTATTCAATTTGTATCAAACCAGGAATGCCCTGGCTCTACTCTACAGGTGATCTAAAGGAGATTGTACTATCCAAATGAATAGTGTGTGTTCAGGTTTTAAAAATACCCTTTTCACCAACTTGAAGCAAATTGAAGGTAAACTCACAGAAAAATCAAGTATCTTAAATACTTGAAGCACTTTTTTTCCATTAAACCATTTTTTGCACTTGCACTTGCAATGTGCCCCTGAACTTGCTAGCAAAAAAAAGGCAATTCCCTAGCCTTCTCTCTCCTTACTTGTCATAGCACTCTTGTTTTCTGGAAGTGTATAATTGTTATCTTTGCTGGCCCAGCTCCTCTGCCCCTCCCCTCACCTTCCTACATAGACCTTTATGTAGCTGCAGGTTGAAATGTATGGTCTGGTGACAAGGTCTCTTTAAAGGCTTGAACCTGCAACAAGCAGATCAGGAAATCCCAATGCATTTTGTATATACATTTGTAAAATTACAATGATTTTGTCTTGAAAGGCTCTTTTTCATTTCAGATTTCGGAGAGTGAAATGGAACAGCCATGAATGGTGATGCACTTAATCAAGACCCTTCCTCCCAGCTACCTGACTGGAAGGAGTTCTGTGAGCTTCATGCACAAGCTGCTGCAGTGGATTTTGCCCAGAAATTCTGTCAATTTTTGAGAGAAAACCCTCATTATAATGTCCCCGGAGCAGAGACATCATTCTCTCACCATTTTGCTGCCAACTTTTTAGATTTCTTTAGTTTTGAGGTGAGCAGGGTATATGTATCAGATTCTCCAACAAAATATAATATTGTTCCCTTTGTTGGACTACAAAACTGCCAGGTGCCTTTAGCAAGGGATTTTGTCCCCAGGAAAGAAGAGACCTCCACCGAGTCTTTAGACAGCATGGACAACCCTGTCACAAATAAATACTTAAGCCGGACTCAGGCCCGAGTCCACAAGGTCTCCTCCTATGGCCATTCACGAAGCTCTGAGGATGTTTCAGTCCATGGGAGCTCCAAGCCGAAATTTAAGAAGGGGTTCTCACTGAGAAACATGAGTTTGTGTGTGTGTGGTAGACGGCATGAAGGAAATGTGGCACAGAAAGTCTTCTCCAGAGCCAAGTCTGGATAATGTGCAGATTAAACGGTCGGAACGTGAACATTGCACACCGGGTAACAAAGAACAAGTGGAGACACGTGAAAAATGGACTCACAAGTTACGGCTGTCTAAAATGCAGGCAGCCAAGATCGATGTTGTAGACATTCAAAGGGAAGGAACTCTCAGGTACATGGTAGCAGATGACACAAACTGTGTTGGTAGCTCTCAGTGGCAAAAATGTCGTTTGCTTTTGAGAAAAGCTGTGAAAATGGAGGGAGAAAGATTTCTACTTGAATTTTATGTGCCTCCAAAGGTAAGATATCTTTTTTATTTTTGCTTTATGACCTATTATGAGAATGTTCTGTGTCATATACTTAGTCTAACAAAGAATCCTCTATTGGAGGAACCCTACTGCAAAAGGTATTTTAAAAAATGCTAAAAGCAAGAGCCTATGAACGACGGAAGTCCTTGACTGCCGTAAATAAATTTTCTGGTTGCACTCTGCATGGTAAATGGGAAAATACTTAAAAAATTGCAAAAATCAGCACACCTATTCTAAAAGACCCTCCATCATCCTTCTAGTGTAAAAATCTGAATCTCCAATAAATTCCCTTGCAGCACTACAACACCATCCTTGAGAGAATAAGTAATTGTAATTGTTTAAAATGCATTCACCCATGTTTATATCTAATGTCTGAAAAGATAAGCAGGCAACCATTGTCAAGAAAAGCTATTTCCTTAAAAATGAAAGATAGCAATATCAAAATGACACATAGATTTAATGTCTAATAAGTAGAGAGAGGGTGCAGAAAGCATAGCTACATGGAATAAAGTAAGCAAAAGCAGAGATATGCTTGCACTGCTGGTTTTCAGGTACAGCTTTCTCTCCGGCAAGGAGAACAGTGAGCAGCACCGAAGAGACATTACCAAATCTCACTTAAGTTCTGTGACTCTAGCAGTCACAGACAGAAGTGCTCTAGATGACCTGCCATATAATGCCATGAGGCTGAAAGCACAGGAAGTGCACTGCTATATTACCGATGGAATTTCCAGACAAGGGTTAAATATTTTAGGGTAGTTTACAGGCCTGTGTGTTGTCTTTTGATGCTGAAAAGGTGTTTGACTGCATCAACTGGTCCTCTCTCCACCTGACTTTGGAGCAGATAGAGTTAGGTCCTAGATTACAATCAAAAATCCTGTTGTCTTCTCCCTCAGCCTCTCTGTTGATTAATGGACATCCGTCACCAGCCTTTCTGATTACTAAAAGTACAAGACAGGGCTGCCCATTGCCCCCCCTCTTCTTTGTCCTGATAATCGAACACCTAGCCCAAACTTTCTGGAACAACGATTCAGTCACTGGGATGCCTATGCACTCTGCCCATCATAAGTTGTTACTTTTTGCTGATGACTTGCTAGTTTATATTCAACAACCTCATATCAGCCTTCCAACTCTTATTAACAAGTTCAAACGTTTTAGTCAGGTCAGCAACTTCAAATTGAACATGACCAAAAGGAAGTTCTTAATTTTTCATTACCCTCTTCCTGTCTCTCTTTTATGTGCTACCTTTCCCTTTAATGGAAACAATCATACATCACCTACCTGGGTATAGCCATTCCAGCCTACCTCTCCGATCTTTATTCTTTAACCCCTTCATGCCTAAGGGTAAAAAAAATCTAAATGCCTAAGCACAATTTTGCAATGTTGACATGTATTAGTAAAACCGTACATATCATCATCATCAACTACTTTGTACATCCAGGTGACTTATACCTTGTTTTTTTTCAGGACAAATTGGGCTTTCATTTGGTGGTAAATGGTAATGGATATCTCCCTGATTTGTTTTTATTATCAAAGGAAAACTGGGCCAAAATAGTAAACAAAATTTTTTTTTTTATTTAGCTGTGTGTTTTTCTTGTTACTACCATAGCCTACCACCAAAGAACAACCCAAAATAAATTTTCCAGCTCTTGACGATTGCAGCGATACCATATATGTGTATGTTATTTGTTGTTTGTACCCGTAGTAGAGCCCAGAAACAAGTGCTCATTTTCTTTTAGTCTTTTTTTTACCTAAAATACACTGACATTGACACAAACTAACACTGATACCAGTTTTCTTTTTTAAATCCTGACTTTGACCCTGACCTTTTGACCTTGACCTTGACCCAAACACTAACCCTGGCACTGAACTAGATCAAACCCTGATCCAGGTATTTTTCTTTATTTTTTTTTTATATTTTTTTTCTCTCTATGCCAGGAGTTGAAGAGATACAATGTATCTCTCTTCTCAATTCATAGAGAGAGAAAAAACAAGGGGGCCAGGCTGTACAGTGACTGATCACTGTGATAGCCAAGCAGAGGCTATTACAGCGATCATGTTAGAACGGGACCCAGGGCTCTCAGTGACACTGTCGTCTTTGTGCTGGGAGCGCACCGTGCATCTCTCTCCCCAGCACAAAGACAGGTACGCAAATATGCTGCCCCATGGAAAAAAGCCCAGTTTTGTGAGGCCGCATATTTGTGTTATGTCAGCGTCAAGGGATTAAACTACAAATGATTTTTAACAGCTTTGAATAAAGATCTTACCTCTCGAGACCTATCAAATATCACCTGGTTTGGTAGGATTAATGACATTAAAATGGATGTCTTAATTTACCTCTTCCAAACCATTCCCATCTCCCTTCCTACAATCTTTTTCTGAATGCTCTGCTCCATGCTCAAGCAATTTATATATGACATAAAAGGTTCTCCCAGCTCCGACTAAGCACTCTTAAGCAACTCTTATTTTGGTGATACCGACCTGCCAGATTTCACCCTACACCATGCTTCTACTTTGCTTTCTCAAAATCTGGAGTAGTTCCCCAGACCTTGCCTGTATGCTTTCTGTATTGTCGAAGAAGACCTCTCGCTGATAGACCTCAGGGCTTTACCATGGGGCTATGCATGCTCCTTCCTTTGTATCCTTGACCTATCGCCGCTCACGATGGCTTCTTTGCGTGTCTGGTATAAATATAGGATATCCTTCTTTATCTTCTGACCCCTCGCCCTTAACTTCTTTAATAGATAATCCGGATCTATCCTGTGGTAAATCTCTCTTGGCAAAAGGACTGAGTTCTAAATCATCCTGGTTTCAAGCACTCCATTTTGTTCACACTGGAGCCCCTACTAATGTACTTATTCCTGCTATCTCTAGCCTCAATTGGCTTACCTGTCACCAAGTGACTACTTATTGCAACAGACTTTTTCATTCTGGTAAGGTCCATTGTCGGCTTACAATGATTCGAACAGCTGTGCTCTCTCTCAGAAACAGTCAGGCATTTCTCAGCTTTTTAAACTCATACAACTTCCCTTCTCAAAAGATTGCATGCCATTTATGTCTGCTTGGAACAGGGAATTAACCAGTGAGCTCACCTGCGAGAATTGGTACAAAGCCTTCCTTTTTACACATACAGTAAGTCTGTGCTCAGGAAAAAACTATAAATGGATGGTAAAAATTATGGTACCGGGACCCGGTTTCCATTCACCACACATTTCCATTTCCGCCAGACACTTGGAAATGTGGGGTTGCAAGAGGGAACTATCTGCATATATTTGTTCACTGTGACAAAAAAACATCCCTTTTGGGAATCTATCTTTCCAATATATAATGATATCTATAGTGAATCCCTTTCACCAACGCTATGCATAGCACTACTTTCAGCACTCCCTGGACCGGTGGCTAAGCAAACGTCCCAGATCTTGCGACATTTCCTCTCAGCTGGCAGGCAACTAATTTCCCAATATTGGAAGCCCACCATTACCCCTCCCTTAGTGAAATGGGTTGCTCAGGGTAATGATATTATGACAGTAGAAGAATTACTTGTGTAATTGCTGACACTTCCCTCAAGTTTTTTGCCCTGTAGATAGTGTGGATTCTCTGTTCTGACTTTCCTGCCTTAAAAAATAGGTTGTAGACTTTCCCATTCACTTCCATTCCACATGTTCGGATGTTTTCTGCACTCTGCAATACCAGTTGCATCACGTTTCTTTTTATGCTTCCATTGCGATATTGTGCTCAGGTATGGACCTTTCTCTCTCTTTTTTCCTTTTTTTTTTTTCTCTTTCTTTTCTTTTTCGTATAGCTCCTTGTAGCCTTGTCCCCTTGGTCTGTATATTTAAGCACATTGTGAAACCCCACCATGCGTTTATATTTCAGCCTGTGCCTTGGCAGTGTTTTTTCATTAATGATAGTTGGTGGGATTTGTTTTTGTTTTGTTTTTTTGTCTCATGGCTCTAGTTGTGTTTTCTACATAATTACCTTGTTTTCAAATTTTTTTACCACCCTAATAATTCATATGTATGTTATACTGCATATGGCTATGTAGGCTTTCTCTTTGTCCATTAACGTTTTGTGCTCCTTTTTTTTTTTTTTTAATAAAAAATATATTGTCTCTATTAAATATTTTAGGGTACTGCTTAGGCATAATTAGCATTTTTCGATAACACAGCAAAATCCTTTTTTTTTAGTCCCTGGCTATTTTAATAAATAATATGGTTGATAAAAAGTTAATATGTGTGTGTGAAAACACTAGGCCCACCTTTAAATGTTGTCCTTGGACTTTAATACTAAAGCAGAACTAAAATTTGTTGAAAACAGATGCCATGTTCTTAGCGCAGACCTTCACAATGAAAGATAACTTTTCTACCTTTAAAATCGCACCCTCCGCAACATAACCGCACCGTTTTTTTTGTTTTGTTTACCTTTTTTCTTAATTATTCGTGTTCCAGCCCACCCCACCCCACATATCCTATTCTCACCTAGGCAAGAATGATGCTCTCCTGGTGCCTCTCGGGATATGCATGTTATATACAGTATCTCAGGAGATCACACCTTCTATACAGCAGTTGTATAGACTTTTCTCTAACACTAACAGGTCTCCCCTGTCAATCTGTAAGTGGACAGTGAAAAGAGAAGCAGAAGACTGATGAGCTCAACTCTCTGTCACTCTGCTCTCATCTTTAGATTAAATTCAAGTACAGTATCTGCATGGAAAAAATATATTTAATAATGTAATAATGAATACAGAGTTTTGTTTGTTTGGGTCTTTTATATCTGCCTGGATGTTAGTATTAGGTTACAAAGGTTTGAGCATCTACTGTGTATCCCCTACAATGCACAGCCTATTAGAGATTAATTGTAAATTATGGGAAGTGTAACGCAGCATTATCGGGTACTATCTGCTTACTATTATGGAAATCAACAAAACATCCTTGTTTATTAGTGAATAATCAAAGCGGAAGTAGCATAGTGAAGCTATTATAACCTCAAGTTGG